TCTGTCTCTAAATAAATACATAAATAAATTACTGAGGGTGACAAAGTGGGACTCTATCTCTAAATAAATAAATAAGATGCTCTGTCTCTAAATAAATATATAAAAATAAAATGACTAAAATGGCATCTATGAATATGGACTAAAAACTGAATTCTGGATAAAGGGTTGAAAAGACAGAATTTTTGAAAATTTCATAATGTAGCAATAAGGTAGACATGTTTAGGAAGATCCCATTCTGGCAGATAATTTTATTTGAGGTAGAGATATGTCTTAAAACTTAAAGAGTACAAATAAAAGGAAATGCTGTTACTGCATAGAAAGTTAAGCCTCCTAGTCACCTACATTGTATTTCTGGCTAATTTCTTTATTGTAGGAAAATGACTTTAGAATAATACATTAATCATAATAGCCTGCATTTATTGGTATCTTACCTACCATGTGCTATACTGAACATATTTAGAAGAATATTTCATTTAATTTATTAAACTCATGAGATGGGCACTTGTATTTCCATTTGTTGAGGAAAGAGAGGGGGGACTTGTCTAAGGTCACACAGCTGTCATGTAGCAGAGCTATGAGATGAGCTGTACGATTCTCCACCTAAAGCTTCTAGTCACAACCCCTGTGCTCCATTGCTGTGCTTCCTGCTGAAAAGGTTTTAAGAGTGCTTAACTAGAATTTAAGTGGCAGAGGAATGACAGTTTTTGATAATTTAAAAGTACCATTTTGATGGATAATACAGACATAGGAAAGTGGTAGAGAGTAAGTATTCGTGTAAGTATTTTTATAAGTATAGATAAATTGGTTTAAAGAAGTCCAAATTTGTTCTTCTAGGTGGACAAGTTGGGTTCAATCTGGTAAGATCACTAAAGGTAAAAAAAAAATAATAATAATAATTATGAACTAGATTTGAATTCTGATCTTGGAATAGATAAAATTTGTCCTTTTTGCTTATTGCTCTTGGGAGATGAGTAAACACTTTAAGGTGGTGCAGTCCTTCTCAGCTGCCTGTAAATTCTCACCCTTGCTGGAGAAAGGGGGAAGAAGGCTGCTTCTAAAAGATTCTTGTTCTTTGTTTTCATGTCTCTTTTGGATTATGACTTTTAGTTAGAGTTGTCTATGTTGTAGTATTGCCATAATCGATATATTGTAATGAGGCTTTGGCAGATGCTTGATTATAGTGATATTGAAAGTTATAGCTTATTCAATCAGAAAAGCCTTAGAGGAAATGGCACTTGCTTTGAAAACAAGTATTTTACTAATACTGAATATTGATTGGTTGTTTGCAGGTGGTTATTAGCTTTGTCAGAAATGTAGCTTGAATTAATTATGTCCTGATAGATGTTAATAATTGTTAGAGATAATGCCTTGCTAGTAATTAGTTTTAATGACTACTGCACCATTAAGAAAGGTTAACTTGTTCTATATAAATCTCCCATAGTG